ATCGACGATCCATGGAAGAAAGACTACATATCTAACTACTCAATGTTGTTGGAATATAATAATATATTGCCTGTCTTTGATTTTTTCCTCTATGAATGAGATAAAATTACCTGACCTTTTTTCAAGAGGGGGAAAACCTTGAATTTTGAAGAACTTAAAGGTCATTAAAAGACTCCTCAGAAGTCGAGAAAGCTTATTTCCGGCCATCTAGGAATCAAAATTTCCCCGGGGAAGGACCCCGGACACCCCCTCCCCTTTTATTTTGGGAAACATTTTGAACCCCCCCCCCTCTTTTAAATCCTGGGTCCGCCCCTAAATATGAATAGCACAGCATCATCATCATCATCATCATTTATAATTGCCATGAGGCCTATTATCATTTTTTGTGATAAACAATGTGATTTAATGGGGAGTTTCGGATGACAACTTGAACGAGAACATAAAACCAAAACCAATTCTTCCATGGTAAACCAGAGAGCAGAAGTCCTCGTTTTGGCCTGCTTACGGTTCCAGATTTCAGATATTTGCAGTTAAATTAAAATGACGTCATTACTTTCTACAGTATACTCATAGAGGAATTTTATTAAACTATTCCTCCATGAGTATCTTTCGACTCATATATCATTGCTCTCGTCGTAAATCTCTTTAAATTTCTCCAACCAGTCAAAAACTAATGAGCGAGGGCGCTCTTTATCGTAACCCGTCTGCTCTCTGCTGCTGCTCTCTGCACATGAATGTCAGTTCGTCGGTTCTGAAAATGTCGTTCATAAACCTAACAAAAAGTTGTACTAGAGGCCTAGCAACGTCAGTAGCTAGAATGGCGACAATTAAAAATGTTACAATTATTGGAGGAGGACAGATGGGTGCTGGAATTGCTCAGGTAGACTAGGTCTGCTGCAACTATTGATAGGCTAGGCCCTAGGCCTCCTAGCTAACTGTAACAACTCAGTTAGCTTGCTGGCCAAGGCCCCAGCAGGGAGACCCAAGTGTAGGCTAGGCCTAAGTCTAGTTAGGATAGGAGGCTGTCATCTCGTCACTATAAAAACTCCTCTGTGACCTACCCCGGGTCTTAGTTAGCAGAGACTGAATTAATACGTACTGGCAATGGAATAAATCTTCATCTGGTCTTACTTATTATTGCTTTGGCCTATTTATTAAAATTCAAATAATGTCAACTTCATAATTAATAATAATAGTAATTATAATTATAATATCATTTAGGCCTATAAGTTAATCGTGACGTCATCACTGTAACTCCCAATGTTATTTGCCTATCCCCACAGTCCAATAATTTTTCAATTACTGGATGCTGCTTCATTTTTTTAAGGTTTGTGTGCAAAAAAAATCCCCTTTTTTATTCTTCAGCACGAAGACATCGCGCACCGCGATGAAAATTTAATTGTAATTGAAAATTACTTTCTTAAAACAAGCGTAATTAGAACTCAAAGAAAGTTACTTCAAATTGAATATTAAGTATGAACAATTAAGGAATTCATTGAATCAATGGACCCTCATAAACAGAACAAACTGAACGTTAATAGGAATATTCTAGACCTATTTTAAAGACACAAGGAACAGCTTTAGGTGTAGGCCTATGGCCATTCAGGAGGCTGCCCAGGCCTCCTCCTTATAAAGCAATTAGTAGAGCATGCATCGTACACTATGGAAAATTATTATACTTAGTTTAGATTTAATGCATTCAAAAATTTTTTGTCTTCAAATTGAAAAGAACTGCCAACATAAACAACTGTTGGCTGTACAATTAATTGATATAATAATTATGTAGTACAGTAACACTTTGTCACCATTTAGTTTAAAATACCTTGGGTTGATTGAGCAGAGCAAGTGGACCAGAATTAATTTTAAATTTGGTTTTCAAGAAGTGTGTTTCTTCTACAAATATTTATTTAATTTTTTATTTATTATAATATCTATATTTTAATTGTGATACTTCTTTTCAGGTTGCTGCACAAACTGGTCACCGTGTTGTAGTTGTGGATCAATCCGATGAAATCCTGTTGAAATCTGTTGCTGGAATTCAGAAAAGTTTGGCCAGAGTTGTTAAAAAGAAATTTGCAGATGATCCTTCTGTAAGTTCAGTGAGCTCCTAATTACCCCTCCCACCTACCCTCCCCCTTATTGGAAAAATCTTATCACTAATATACTTTTGGTATTTGTATTACTGTACCATGCTGAAAGTTATAATACCCAAGTTCATTAAGTGGGTACCTGCATTTTGTACAGCATATTATATGCTTTTGTATAACTTCACTCTAAAGCTTTGTCCACCCTATCAAAAAGCAGTTGTATGCCCATATATAGTCATGATGTGCCTATATATGGTCATGATCAAATTATCAAATAAAGTTTATCTGGACAGGGATTAAAGCTCTGACCACACTATCAAAAAGCTGTTGTATGCCCATATATACAGTAGTCATGACCATATTTGGTCATGTCACATGTTTTTGTCAATACAATTGATCTGGACAGGACCACACTATCAAATTTTATGTGACAAAAAAATGTGATATGCCCATATTTGGGTGTACAGGGCTGTGAAAAGTTGGTGGTCCTGGGTCCTAGGACTTAAGCCTGGTTCTCACGAGAGCCCTAGTATCCGGATCGGGAGCTAACTGTTAGTGCTGACCATTAGCACCTGTGAATGAACGACCAATCTGTTAGTGCTAACCGTGAGCAGTATCTGGATATCGCTAACAGTTAGCAAGCGCTATCGGTTAGCAAGTTGAACGTGTTTTTATCATCAACCAATCACAGGTACGTGTTTGCAATTTCCAGTTTCATATTGGCCAGTGATTCGATCGTCATATTTTTGGTATCTGGATCGGGATTTTCTCGTATGGACGCACAGCAGCTAACGGTTAGCAGGATCCGGATCAGCTGTTTGAGAACATAGCCTATAGTATTTTAGAGCTGGGCTAGAAAAAAAATACATTAAAACTACACCAATATTCAATACCTGATATATAAGGGCTAGCAATTATTTTGGCAAAACTAGACCTTGGTCTAGCAAAAAAGAATTAACTTTTTACAGCTCTGTAGTATGACATTACGTCCTTTACAAGTCGACCTTTCATAGAAACACCCATGAATTTGAACATACACATGGTACTATGACGGAAGAGTGAAAGTTATTTTTTTTTTTTTCTGGTATAATATACAAAATGTACAAATGGCAGCCAAAGTCTGAGTTAATGTATTTACAAAAATATTATGTACAAAATTGCAACAAGAAGGGACACAACATTAAAAATGCATAAAAAGAAAAATCACGTTAAAAAATTACTAAACTTAATGAAAACACCTAAAAATTTCATTGATTACATCAACATACGATAAATATAAAATATAAATATATAAAATTTGAATTAACTTTTCTAACATTACAATATCAAATTATTTAATGAAATTAAGAACACAACAAATATTGCACATAAAACCACCCACAGAAGAACTGCATTCAAGAAATGATTATGTTTAAGACCTAACAACTAATCCACCACTAGACTGGATTGAATAATTAATGTTCCTTAACAATTGTTGGAATTGTGGTTCTACACAAGGGAACTTCAAGAAAGCAGTTCGATTTAAGATATCTAGTCACAATCATGTGATTGGTTAAGCTTGGTTTCCATACAATCCTTACACCGTCGCTACAGTGTTTTCAGTGCAGTCGTATTATTGCGTAGCAGTCCCTGACACAATCAGTAAGGTTACCCGATTCGACCAACCAATCAGCATCACCAAAAACTGTCAGCAATAGTGTGTAGCGATTGCATGGAAACCATGCTTCAGGGGAGAGGAAATCTTTGAACAAAAAATTTAAAAACGTTCCCCTAAAGACAGCACTAGTCTTCCTCTTCTTGCTACAAGGGTTGGTGATCCTGTAACAGCGAGGGCAAGGAAAGGGAGTTGAAGATGAAGAGGTGGTTGATTCAATTAAATAATGTTGTTAACATTTTAAATGTATTGGGCAAACACAGGTGAATATCCTTTATTATTTATAGTTAAAAGAACCAATTAGTAAAATGATTTTCACTTCGGATTTTCAAGTTAGTTCATAGATCTAATAGGATATCATTGACACATGACTTCCTACCGTTGACAGCATTCTTGTCAAACTCAACAAAAAATAAAGCTGGGTGTCATCAGCGTAGATATAGTAATTGATCATACATAGTTGGATGATATCAAGGTTGCCAAACTGTAAGTAATAACTCTTTGCTTAATGTATGTTGTACTAATGTATATTATTTTTTATTTTGCTTTAGGGTGGTGAGAGCTTTTTGAAAACAACGATGGCTCAGATTTCCACGGCAACTGATGCAGAATCCGCTGTCAAGGAAGCTGACCTTGTGGTTGAAGCAATCGTAGAGAACATCAAGATCAAACAAAATCTCTTTGAAAAACTTGATAAAGCCGCACCACAGTAATATATAATCTATATTTCTATGTACAATTTATTTTATTTATAAAGTTTTAAATTCAATATCAAATGATATCATAAGTATAACTAATTACTTTGTGTGATAATTATGGTAATGTGCTGTTTAAATATTATTTTATTTATGATGTTTGACTTTTATAGCCAGCATAATTAACAGGAGTAATTAATAGGATTAGTAAATAAGTGGGACACAAACCTTTTTCTGGGGGGCACACCCCTTCCCCCCAAGGCCTACATTCTAAGGTTCACTACTGGTCATTAACAATCTCGACACATATGTATGGTATGCCTGTGTTTACACACTGATCCAGGAAAATCCGTCCAGACCAGGATTTCTATTTACATAGTAAATTCACGTTCCAGATTTTTCGCTGCATTGTATTTCAACGTTGACTCACCTGATTGGTTGCTTAGAAAGTGGTAACTTTTAACTGAATACATCCATGATCTTGATCGACCGATCTGTGATGGCTGATCTGGATAAAGCTAACCAATCAGGCATTCACACATAGGATTGTTTGGTTAGGTTATTAGGTACAGTACCCCTTGATCCATATTTAAATTATTTAAGTGTGTTAATTGGTTAAATAGGTCAATGACCCTGTGTGTGAATGACAGTGGTGTTTTTTGAGGAACCTCATCTTAAAGAAGACCTGAATAAGAGGTTTTTTTTTACTCCTAATATAATTGTTTTTTGTTTTTTTTGGTTTTTTTTTTAGAAACACAATTTTTGCAAGTAATACATCATCTTTAGCAATTTCGGAAATAGCACAAACATCTCAAAGGAAAGACCGGTTTGGTGGATTGCATTTTTTTAATCCTGTACCTGTGATGAAGTTAGTAGAGGTAAGCATAATCAACAACAACTACAAACATACATTTAGTGTGAATTGTGTATGTGTCATACTGCTTGACCAAATTATGGATTTTTAAAAATACTATTTCTGTAATCTTTGCCTATTCTATGTACCTGCCAGCAAAAATAGAAATGTAAAAAATCGGTACAGGTAAATCGGTGAAAACTGTTTTTCTCGTTATTTTAAAATGTTAAATTGAACTTAAATGATTATCATAAATGAGCAGTATTTGATTTCAATTATTAGTATGCAAATAATACAGTTTCTTGCTCTTAATGATTATAAGAATCATCTCTTAAACTAGCAATCAAATTAAGCTCTTTTGTAAAAGTCTGTAAAAACTTATTTTTTTTTTTTTTTTTGGTTTGTCTCTCATTAGGACTTGATACATTATTTGATCCTTTTAAATGGAAAATTTAATGTTTTCATTTAATTTCTAAGGGTTTTGAAGATTTGACATTACGCACCTTTAATTTAAGTATCATTACTATTAGGTGCAAGGGCAAAAAATTGCCAGAAGCAAAATATTCACTATCGAAAGTGACAATCATTTCATGTATACACAATTTGAATTACAAGGGCCAAATATTGCCCAAGGCAAATTTATCAATATATGTAAGTGACAATCCTTTCGTTTAAGACGTAAACATGAACAGTTAACTTGCAGTCACAGAAAAGTCTAATATACTTTTCTTATTATTATATATCATTCTACATATGCTAGGAAATAGGCTAATTTGATAAAATATTAATTCAAATAATTTATTTTTAATTTAATTTTTTTAATGTTTTTCTTCTACATTGCATATGTACTGGACTGGATCATAATCTAACTTAACAGTACTGCCACCCACTTTTGAGAAAAGCCAGAAAAAGTCAAATAAAAATTTTAATTGCTCATTTAATAGTTATGTTATTCAATAAGAAGAGCAGCTTAGCTCAGTCGGCTAAACTGGTGGTAGCCACTGTGTGTGCACTGAACCGTGGAGATCTCTAAGTCCCCGGTTTAATTCCCCTCGCTGCTCTCCTTGTGTTTCAGCTGGAGGGCTGAATTACAAGTTACGATAGCGCACCATCTTCTTTCAGATGAGACGTTTAAGCCATTGGTCCTGTGTGCAATATGGCCCATGTGCACATTAAAGAACAAAATACACTCTTCAGAAAAGAGCGGGGATCGTCTCCCGGTGTACTGCCGAATTCACCACCAAACTACCCCACTGGAAACAAGTCTTCAGACTTGGGTTATCCTTGGTGTGAAAATTAGTTCTTAGACATTTTACAAGAAATCATTTTCAATTTAGCTGACAAAAATAAGAGTTTATGTGCACAAATAATAAATTAATTAAAGATTATATGGAAAAAGTTTATGAATGGTATTATTTAAACGCTCATAATAATTTGTGAGAACATGTATTTTTTGTTTTTTTAGTTAAATGCTAAGCTAGTAACTTAAGTAAAAAAAACATATAAAGGGATTCAATTTTGTTTCCTGTCTATTACAGCTTTAAAGCAGTATCTCTTTAATTACAGTATTATAAATTTGACAAAAACTGAAAACATATAATTAAAATACAAGGATTGTTTGAAAAGTAGAACACCAAATGTAATCCACACAAATCAATGTGTCAAGAAAGGTTTTATCCTCTGAGTTTGGCTTTTATCCAATAATGCCTCAAAACTTTTTGCCAACATACATTTATAAGTGTACTGTATATACATTATAAATGTGAAAAGTGATTTCATGCATACATACAGTATTAGTTTTGTTTATTGAATTATCTACACATATGTAATTATCAATGACTTAAAATATATAAAGAAAATTAAAAGGCAGCACTCTGAGACTAACTTAGATGTTATTTATTTAACACAAGCTTTCGCTGACAGTCAATGCCAGCTTTATCAGGTGTGTGAAGTAGAAAATTGAAAACAAAATAGAAAAGAGCTTATGCCAAAATACATTAAATTAACAGCAACAATCCTAATATTCATCATCACTATCTTCTTCATCATCATCATTATCACCACTGCTACTACTATCCTCTTCATCACTATCATACTCATCACAATTATCATTAAAATCATCATCATCGCAACCACCACTATTCTCTTCATCACCATAATACTCATCACTATTATTATCACTACAACCATTAGCAGCCTCTTCATCACTATCATACATATCACTATATTCAACATCATCATCATCATTGGAATTATCCTTCTTAAGGCCTGTTTATACTTCAACGATAACGATAATGATAAAAAAGCTAAAAAGCGATTGTTCATATAAAGAAATAAGAGAAGTTTTTACACTAGGACGATTCGATAACGATTTATCGTGTATATGATAACAAAATATCTTAACAAATCAAATCAGATGACGTCATATTCATGGAAAAACGATAAAATCATTGCTACTACTATGATTTTAATGTTTTTCCATGATTATGATGTCATCTGATTTGAGTAGTTTCCTTCCATCTCCGCAACATCAAGGCAGTTAGGCGTTTTTTAAATGAAGATGCTACGTCAAAACTTGTACATGCATTGGTTCCATCAAGATTGGATTATTGTAATGGAGTCCTTTACGGAATACCATTAACATCAATTAGAAAGCTGCAGCTATTGATGAACATCGCTGCTCGTCTTGTCACTGGGACACCTAAATTCCATCACATCACC